GAGTGATGGGGTGGGCAGAGACAGCTGTCATGGGAGGCTTAGGTCTCCTCCCGCACCGCCCCACCCAGCCTCCTGTGACAGCGTGTCAGGATTGAGAGCGGGTACAAACAATGTGTTTGTAAATAATTGAGGACATGGTATGTTTACTATACCCTCAGTTATGAATGAATGGGAAGTGATCTACATCACCTCCTGTTCATTCATGATTGTGGATATAGTAAACACACTGAATGAACAGGAACACTCAGTATAGAGGATTGCTGTTCTTTGATAACAGGGGCTGTGTCAAGCAAAGAAATAGAGTAAGCTAGAGATATTTTGGGTGATTAAAGCAGATGTCTGGGCAAACCAAAAACTTAAACCCTTGTAGCAGTGGAGCTACACCAGCACTGCAAGGGTGAAGTGCTCCTTTCATATAGGGAGAAAAAAAAAAAGTTATACTCACGCAAAGTGTGACCCCGGCTGGCTCCTGCAACGCTCCCACCTGTAACTAACTTTAGCTGCCTAGACCAAACAAGCACTTAACCCTTGCAATGCGGGGGACATTCCACTGGAAGGGTTAAGGCTTGATTTGCCTGGAGTTCTACTTTAAGCTTGTTCATTATCTATCCTGAATAACCGTTTTCTTCTAGTTTGACAACACAGCATTCCTTCCATACCAATGCATGTCACACAAAACGTGGGCCAGATGATGCTGCACGGTAATTATACTATGCATTTCCATCCAGATACATAGCATTAGAGATGCACCGATATTAAAAAAAATCCTGCTGGCTCCTGGATTGGGCAGACTGGCTCCTAAAGTCTATCTTTTTTTTGGGGGGGGGCATTTAGTCCAGGTATTTTTTTGTCGGTTTTTGCCGATACCGAATGCCTATACCGGTAGTCCCATAAAAGGAAGCCGGGTAGGAAAACAGAACATACAAGTACAGCTGTATCTACACCATTTAAAAGTGATATAGTCTTCTCTGGACAATCGCTGATGTGATCTATGTATTGTCCACGCAGTGACCTGTGTTGATCTCGTAAAACGCAGGTCACCGCACTGTGTGAATGGACCCTTAAATTTGGTTTATTTACAGAAAATATAGGTTTGCTAAACAGTTGCAAAAATTTTGTGAAACATAAATGTGACCATTACTACCATTTTTTTTATTCTACAGGTTCTCTGCTTTCAGAATATATAATACTTTAGGAGTTATAGCATGCCACAGGACAAAAGGGTGCATTTTAGCATGTGTGAGGGAAAAAAATGTTCCAACGGCAAAAGGGTTAAAAAGGCAACAAGGCCTCTTTAATATTACAGTATAGCTATACAGAGTTTTCTAGTGCAGGGCAAAATCACGGGAGCCAGGTAGCCAATGCGCCTTGAAAAGAACAGCTGGCGGCTAACTTGTGAGGTTCTCTCAAATTGTTGTCAATGGAGCTGGCTCCTAAAAAAAATCCTGCTGGCTCCTGGATTGGGCAGACTGGCTCCTAAAGTCTATCTTTTTTTTGTCTAGCGATGTCTACAATTCTTCTGTAAATGCTACGCCCCATCATTTTTGTTACATGTCTTCAAGAAATCAGCACACAGTTTACATTATAATAAAGTGCAGGGGAGATATTGGGGGTCTAATAGATGCCTGATATCTCCATAAAGAAGGCCGGTCACCTGCACAACTATGTTGCTGAAAAAGGTGTTGTCAAATTTGGAAATCATTTCATCAATAGCTAGTCAAATGCATCCCCGAAAAAAATGTGATCTCACCCAAGACAAATTACATACACAGTAACACAAATTGTGTACCCCATGTGGACCTAATACATCATGTATGTATCAATGTTACGGATGTGTGTGCAATTGAAGAGTGTGATGCAGCCGTTAACAAATCACAGATTTATTTTTACATGTCCCTTACAGATATTAAAATCAAATGCAAATTGACAATACATTTGCCCACATGGAATGCAAACCTAAAATAAACAATGTAACTTCTACCCAAAGCTTATTTAGGCCTTTTCCACACAGATGGCAGGCACTGCTGCCCCTATAAAAAGTAATTCACCATGAATCCCTTTTCAGAGGGTGGAGGTTTGCAGATATTTAGTAGGCGATATTGCCGTCTCCTGATACCTTGTTTGGCACACCAAAACTGTGTGCCAAACAGTCAACACACGTTTGCAGTGTGGTCCCATTCACTTCAACAAGCGAGTTTGACAGGTGGTGTCAAACTAAGATAATACAATGCTAAGCGAAGCATTGTGGCCCCAGCAATGTGTACTGTCCTGAGTGGCTACCATGTCACACTGTACGTTGAAGATCAAGGGGCAGTAAAAACATGGATCAATTGCCTGTTTTTATGGCTATCCCACATCCTCTGTGCACTCGGCCTTAGGGCCATTTCATATAGCTGCCAGCCATTCTGATCAGAAGGGTATCCCCAGCTAATCGGAGCAGACCGGAAGTCACACTTGTGGCATCCGTGAGCGGGAGTATGTTTACATCACATTACCCCGATGACATGATCAGGTCCACCAAAACAAAAAGTTGTTTTGTTTTTATTCCTAGACATAGATCGAGGTAACCAGATGTAAACAGAAGCACGTCTGTTGACATCTGGCTGCTCACAAAGTTACATTGGGCTTCTGATCAAATCCACCTGAAAAAGTGACAGGCAGATCCAACAAGTCCACCCGTGCGAGGCCCCATTCACACCAGGGCAGTTCGGTCGCCCGGATTTGTCCACGCTGAACCAGCGACACGAATGGTCCCGTACATTCCTATGGGGGACCGTGCATACAATCGCGTAGCTCCGTGTGACCCCGAACCACCTGCCATCCAAAATGCTCCCCGAGATATTTGTTTGCGCTAATCAGCGGGTTTTCCATATAGATTGCAATGGAATTCCCCATAAAACAAGGTTTGCACTGTTCGCTGGAGGTGCAGATCACCTCCAGCCTCTTCACACACTTCCGGTCTACAGTCACAAACTACAGTGTCAGCTGCAAATCATTGCGCTGGATGGGTTTTCTGACAGATAACAGTGGACCATGTTTGTGCAATGTGTGCCAGCACAGACAATTGCAGTCTCCAACAGGGGTGCATGTGACCAGATGACAATATAAAACACAATTGGTAGACAATTGTCCCCCTATAACTCAGGGCTGGACAAATCCCAGGAGACAGCAGCCAGTGCTCTAAAATAGAAAAAAAAGACACAACTGACGGCTAACTTTGGAGGATTTCTCTAGTTGTTGTCAAAGGAGCTGGATCCTAAAAAAAATTCCACTGGTTCCTGAATTCCATTTGTCCACTCCTGACATAACCACAAGTGCCTGAACAAGGACCCCAATTGGAGGTCTGCCATATATTGTCCTGAAAGCTGCAGATCTACAAAACATCTTTTGAAATGTCATTAATAATGTTATGGATCACGTGATATTTTAGTGGTTGGGATGAGGTGCATGTCTAATGAGGACTGTTCTTGGTAGTCTAGGATAATAGAGGGAAGAGCTAGAAACTGCTGTCCACACTGGGGAGATCCATCCTCTAGATTTGTCCTGCTCGTCACCGAACCACGAGGGGAAATGCAATCCAATGGGGACACCAGTACTGCTGATTAAGATAGCATTTCCACTCACTTTTCTCACTTCCTGCTGTATCTCTGGAACAGGAAGTGAGGGGACATTTCCCATCTGGAAAATTGACAATAAACCTTGACAGTGGGATTAACCCTTCCTAACCCAAAAACTAAGAAAAATAGAAAACGTTTTGGACTGTAAGTAGCGGGATTATCAGAGACTACATGTATTTAGTTAGCCATCGCTTTCCTCCTCTGGCTCAGACATCCAGAAAAAGCACTTAGGGTACCATACATTTGGCTTTACAATTCTTAACAACATGTAATCCCAATCCAAAGAGCCCTTACAATACATATCTTGGGGTAGATCTAAAAGGAGATTGTACAATCAGATGACAACACCTACGGCTGACTATACATTATCCGATTGTACAATCTCCCTCAGATCTACGTATGGAGAGAGCCTGCCTGATGTGATATGAATTTATTGGGCTGAATGAGTTTGTTCTCATCTAACATAGATCTGGAAATTTGAAAGCAGACTATACACCAGGGGTGGGCAACTGCGGCCCTACAACTGTGCTTTAACTACAAATCCCATCAAGCGTCAGCCTCTGGGAGCATTGCCTTTAACTATCAGTCTTACAATGCCTCATGGGACTTGTAGTTCCACAACAGCTGAAGGGCCAGAGTTGTCCACCACTGCTATACAATCTGATTGTACAATCACAAGACCTACTGTTAGCTATGTAATACAAGGGACGGTCTCATGACACAAATTGAATGGATCATTGAAGATGGCCATACACAGCTTGATCCACCAATCCACACTAAACTGGCACCTGTGGCTGCCTGAATATCGATCACTGGCAGCATCCAATTGGCTGTGGTCAGCCATGTTCCACCCGGCTCAGTTATTTATATAATTTATCATGCAAGTGGGGGTGCTGACAGGGACACACACGACTTGAATCCTGATTCGGCAGGAATTGTCTAAAATCTGAGCGGTGTATGGCTAGTGTTAGGTTTGTCCCCATATTGCACAGTTTTGGTATATCCAGGGAGATCATACAATCTGATCATACGGTTTGTGGCCAGATTAAAGCAGATTGTACAGTGTGTGGCCTGTATTACAGTGATGCCTCTGTTCTCTCTCCTGTCAGGAAGCTGGTGTGATGACATGGGTAGGCCTGTAAACAAAGCACGGTGTGTAGAGTGTGATGAGAAGTTTGCCAGAGTCGGCCTCAGGCACAAATCGGCCACCCCGGCCTCCACTAAAAGAGGACGGAGAGTCTGTTTTGGGCCTCCGGAAAGTTTGCAGCTTCCACCCTTCAGGCTCAACTCAGCTGAGACAAACTTCTCAGAAGTCCGGCCTGCCATGGCGCAAAGCCGGGACCCCCCTGGCCACAAATCTCCCCACCTTCCCTCCCTTCATACCTCACACGGTCTAATCCCCCGCGGCTCCTCCACTCCACCGGCGTCCGCCGTCACCAGCAACCCAGGCCGGAGATTCCGGAGGAGGGAGACGGGAGAGGAAATATCCGGCTGTTTTTATTTAAACAGGGCCCGGGAACATCCCTCCGCCATATGCCCCCCTTCCGTCACTACGCTCACACAGCGCCCGGCCGGCCAATCAGCGGGCGGCTTACTCAGCCATTAGGCAGCGGGCCACAGTGCGCAGGCGCCACCGAGGGCGGGGACCAGCCAATGACGCACTACGGTGCTCGAAGAGATCAGGGCGGCTAGAGCGCAAACACGGAAGTCGCAAAGCATGCTGGGAATGGTAGTCTTTTGTCACTCGCACTGCCGAGGCTCCTCGCGGAGCGGCGGAGGTAGTCATGTGTGGACCTGTACATTGGCAGTGGCACCCCCCACTCCCATAGAGCCCACTGTGACACCCTTCATAGGACACGCCTCATAGGACCACTGTGACACCTCACAGAGAACCCTCGCCATGTATATCATAGAGACACCCTGTCATTACCCTCATGCATATTCTAAAGAGAGCCTGTCATCACTCCATGCATATCCATCTCATGTACATTATAAAGCTGAACTGTGGGATAAGTGAATCCTGGTGAGCTTTAGGGTTGCCACCTTTTCTTCAAGCGAAACCCGAACACACTCTAGCGATGCGTGGATATTTTTTTGGGAGAATTAGTTGTGGCTTATTTATATGTAAATAGCCCCGCCCATTCATATGTAAATATCACAATTGAGACTATTTTCAGTGGGGGGCCAGTAGCCCCTATCCTAATTCTGGTTGCACCTGTCTGCCTGACATCTTGTGTCTGGGTTTCTGCTGCCATGAAACCTGAACACAACCCTAGTTGCCACCTGTCCAGGATTCACCAGGACAGTTCGGGTTTTGAATGCTGTGTCCGGGTTTCATGTCAGGCAGACAGGTGCAACCAGAATTAGGATAGGGGCTACTGGCCCCCCACTGAAAATAGTCTCAATTGTGATATTTACATATGAATAGGTGGTGCTATTTAAATATGAATAACCCACAACTCCAAAAAAATGTCTAGGCGTCACTAGAGTGTTCGGGTTTCGCTTGAAGAAAAGGTGGCAACCCTAGCGTGTATTTCTTCCACATCTGTGCAGTAATCCAGTGTGAAACCTTGCCTTCTGTTGGGCGCAGCCAAACAGTGGGAGTGTCTGAAAGGGCTTGGTTAAATACAATCTGAGCCTAGTCTGCTATGGGTCAAGAGTGAGTGACGCACAAAATGCAGGGGTCAGGAGTACATAATACATGGAGTGCTGGGGTCAGGAGTACATAATACATGGAGTGCTGGGGTCAGGAGTGCATAATACATGGAGTGCAGGGGTCAGAAGTACATGATGCATGGAGTCAGGAGTGCATAATGCATGGAGTGCAGGGGTCAGAAGTACATTACGCATGGAGTCAGGAGTGCATAATGCATGGAGTGCAGGGGTCAGAAGTACATTACGCATGGAGTCAGGAGTGCATAATGCATGGAGTGCAGGGGTCAGAAGTACATTACGCATGGAGTCAGGAGTGCATAATGCATGGAGTGCAGGGGTCAGAAGTACATGACGCATGGAGTCAGGAGTACATAATGCATGGAGTGCGGGGGTCATGAGTACAAATTTAAATGCATGGAGTGCATAATACATGGAGTGCAAGGGCCAAGAGTACATGACACATGGAGTGCCGGGGTCAGGAGTACATAATGCATGTAGTGCAGGGGTCAGGAGTTCATAAAGTACAGAGTGCAAGGGTCAGGAGTACATAATACATGGAGTACAGGGGTCAGAAGTACTTGACGCATCAAGTGCAGGGGTCTGAAGTACGTAATGCATGGAGTTCAGGGGTCAGGAGTGCATAACGCATGGATTGCAGGTGTCTGAGGTACATAAGGCATGTAGTGCTGGGGTCAGGAGTACATAATACATGGAGTGTAGGGGCCAGAAATACTTAACGCATCGCATCGAGTGCAGGGCTCTGAAGTACGTAATGCATGGAGTGCAGGGGCCAGGAGTGCATAATGCATGGAGTGCAGGCGTCTGAGGTACATAAGGCATGGAGTGTAGGGAGCGAACATTACACCCCGCCCCTCCCTCAGTACAATGCCCCCCTCCCCTTACATCAATGGCACAGATTTCCCCCTTACACACAGAATCCTCAGGCAGGTGAAAGCTGGGTGGAGGAGGTGGAGCCCTGAAAGTTCCATCTTTCTCCTCCTCTCTCTGAATGCTGGCTGGACAGGTCATTGGTTAGGTGCTAGAACACCAGGTCGTCCTAGTAACCAAATACCAGCGATGGGGGAATTGAATGATAACAGCGGCAGTCTCCTGTCTCTGTTGTTTCACTGAGTCAGCTTAATATTTGGATTTGCAAAAGCATTTGATCCTCACAACATAGATTTATATATTTTGTGGTTGTTGAGGAATGCATTTAAATACATATTTTTGTGTCCGGACTTCAGTTTTAAAGAAACCCTATCACTACTCCATGCATAACCTTTTAGACTGTAGGCTCTCTTGGGCAGGGCCCTTCTTACCATCTTGTCTTGATTTGTACTGTAACTGTAATGTCTTCCTTATATTATAAAGTGCTGGGCAAACAAAGTATGCATATTTTTTCAACAACTATTCATAAAAAGCTATTGGTACCTCAATGTGACATTTTCCATTTCCCTGGCACATAAACAGAGCAGTACTGTACCTACATAATCTAATCCATTAGTCCTTTCAAAGGCTCTTTCTTTTCTCAACATGTGTAAACTAAACCACTGTTTCTGAGATGCAGATTTTGATTTTTGTTTGTCGCATAGACAGACATCCCAACCTGCAAAACCTTATTTCAGGGAGGTTCCCGTCTCATTTCAGGGAGGTGCCCTTTCTGTTTTTAGGGTTGTTTTTTTACAGCGGCCGTCGTCAGAATATAAAAGACACACACACACACCAATAATATTATATATTTATTTATATGTACATCAGATTTGTGAATTGATATTCAAGTATCTGTCAGTGTAAAGGTCACAATTTATTAGACACCCGAGACCTTTTTAAAAAAACACAGAGGAGTAAAGTCCCTGATACACAGCTGACTAGTTGCCATGGGCAGCAAATGAAAGAAATGTTCTCTATAACTAGACAACCAGGACATATAATTAATTCTATATTATCCACAAAGGGTTAACAGCACTCTCTCAACCCTGCAGCAGTGCCTGTACCTGCTCTCAATAGTAGTCTATGTCCGCCCTCTCTGTGCAGCAAGTAGCTTCTTCCTTCTGAGAACCAAGCCTCGTTCTGAGGCTACTCTAGAGATCACATGACCTTCCTCCAGGAGGCAAGCCTCACTCTGAAACTTTACCCCCTGATATCTTACCGGAAAGGTCACTCAGAGTAAACCTTTCAGGGAGAAAATGCCTCTCTCGTGGACATCAGGGAGCTGCTGTCCAAAAGAGGGAGACTCCCTGAACATCAGGGAGACTTGAGATCCCTGCATAGATATACTCTGTACCTACGGGAAGATGAATCCTACCTTACTCTGATAGCTGGAGGTATGCTTTTTATATACTGTATTTCAACACCACTATCTCCTTCTCCACAACCACAACTAGAAGAGGTCCATCATGTGCTTTACTCTACTCTAAGTATGTTGATGGAGTTAGGCTCACAAGCACTGTGCCTGAGCAATGGAGCATTGAGCGCCTAAGAGTAATTCCCTTCCCTCTCCCAGTATGAGCTGCTGTACAAGGTATCTCATATCATATATAGCACAGTTGTCACTTCTATTGTCTCACTGAGGGATTCTTCCTCCCATTCTGAATTGTAGGGATGCACCAATACCAAGTACCGTACTCGATACAAGTACAAGTACAAGTACCGATACTTTTTGAGCTCCAAGACTAGACTAGAGAAACATTCTAAAGAGAGGAGGCAGCTGTCATTTGTAAGGAGCATACGGAGCTCCAGGGTTTTGTACATCTCTGTTTTAATGTATGATTTTGTCTTTATAAACATATATATTCGAGATGCACCAATACCAGTTTTGCAAGTACTGATACTTGCCCAAGTACTTACAAGTACGAGTACTGATACATTTTTGTTTATTGTCATGTGACAGTTTTCTTAAAACAATACAGACTAATGATTTCAGGACAGTGGTGGAGCGCCAGCGCCAGAGCCAGGTCCCAGCTGCAACGGCGGCATCCCTGGTAGTTCTCATGAAAATGCCAAAATGCCAACACTAAGGCCCCATTCACACTGAGCGATTCGCAAATCGCGCGTTTGTCGAGCGATTTGCATTTTGCGCGATATTGCGCAAATGCTTGCATTGAAAAGACTAGAATCGCGGCAAAATCCGCTCCAAAAAGGGTCCTGCTGTAGCGACGCACGACCCGCGACAGACAGAGCCCCATTGAGATGTATTGGAGAGCGATATCGCGCGGTAAATATCCGCGATGCGCGATAAATCGCTCAGTGTGAACGGGGCCTAAGGCACTGGTACTCAAAAAGTATAGGTGCATCCCTAATGGCAAGCAATACCAATGAGATCCCACCAGCATATGCAGCCCTCAATGAATAATGTCCAACATATATGTATCAACCCCTCAATGACCTATCTTCAAATTATATGTATTAATTCTCATTGGCACTATGTGATCCGTTTACAAAGCAGTGGTATCATCTGACTGTGGCCATACTGCTGCTTAAAAAAAAAAGCACCATTCATTTATAAGTATAGCAGTGTGCTTTACGAAAGTGCTTTGTGTTCCACTTCCTTCATTATTTTAAATTAAGCAGATGGCAATTAATATGAATGAAGGAAAAAATAAGAGAAGAGGAAAACTCGGTCATGTCAAAGTCATGTGACCAGGCTTGCTTGTAATCAAGGAGCTCCTTCTGCAGCAATAAACAGAGATCACAATGACAATGCAGGCTGTGGTGTGGAGTAATTTTGCTGTGTATAGCTAATAGCGGTATGTGCTCTCTCTTATATGTATATGCCTATGTGTATTAGCCCCTCAGGAACCAATCCCCAGTGCA